GTTAAGCACCACGCTGCAATTCTAAAGCCGAAGCAGCTGATCAACAGTGTCACCTAGTGGTTGATGTGAAAAGTGTCAAACACTATCGTACTGGATGTGGGGTCCACTTCTGGCCCTTCTCCAGGACCACGAGGACAGCGTTTTCAGGCAGCGTCTGGAAGAACTCCTCTGTGTCCACCCCTGTTCCATCTTCATCCAGCACCAGGTCGCTGACACACTGTACACCCAAAGAGTCACTGACCTGACAGAGCACACACACATACACACATTAAATCAGCAGAAAACAATTCAGATATGGTCCATTACACAGAGACAGAGCATTATAATAGTCAGATACACCTCGGTCTTGTGAACTTTTACCAGCATGAGTAAGGTGTGGCAATAAGTGAGTCACAGGCCAGTCAGTGTGTGGTCATTTCAATCCCTGACACAGACCAGGATGTCTCCCCGCTTCCTCACTGTATCATTAGTCTCAACGTTCATCCACTCTCCTCACCTTGTTCATCAGGTCTTCCAGCGTGTCTGCAATGATGCCCTTCTTCACACTGCGCTCACCGTTTGTGACCCTGAAGGGCCTCGGCCGAGGAGCTCGACCCGACAGCAGCTGCTGGGTCATGGAAGCGCTGGCTGAGACGCTTGCTGACACACACCTGAGAAAAGATATAAGTTCATAATGTAAAACTGTCCTATCCACTGTTAACTGGTGACAATGTTGACCATCACGTCCAACTCACGGAGCAGTGCTCTTACTTGGAGAGAGAAGACGGAGTCAGAAGGCTGAGAGACTTCATGGCGTAATCCATCTGAGAGCCCTTTCACCTGCAATAGGAAGTAGCATCAGTTTAGACAACACATCACCAACAAAGAGTAACATTACTAACAGGCCTCACAGAAGGAGCAAGTAGCAGCTTTGAGTTAAGTTCATTTGTTTTACATTCCAGCTAAAAATGAGGGAAAACGTAAAAGTAAATTCTTCTTCACCTCCACGCGTGAACCATTATAACTAAATCTGATCTGTTAGAGAAAACCCTTGTCTTCAACTACTCTTACAATAATGTCAAGACATAAATCTACAAGATAAATAGAAAGATGACACTTCAGCAGCTATTGCCTTACAGTGGTGTTCCTGAAGCGCTGCTCCGAGCTCTGTTGTCGCCACTGAACCTCTCTGATAACGCGCACTCTTTTCTTGCACCACTTGCTCACTGAACTTTGTGCTGATGACTGTTGAGCTAGTTGCAAGCTGTCAGCTTTATTGAGTAATTCTCTGTGAACACTCCCACTAACCCTCCCCTGTGGAAGCTCTGGATTCCAGTTTGTTATATACAGAAATAGTTACATGAAAATAAAAGCCAAATAGCTAAATCACAGTTTTCCACCTTAACTCTAGTGGTATGTAGCCCGGCAGATAGTTTTGGTTGAATGTGTCCATAGAGCAGCCTCTGTGGACAGTTTTCATTGGAACTACTTCCTATAGAAGAAATAGTGTCTATGAAAACATGCTGACAGTGTTTTATGTGGATTACCAAAATACATTGTTATTGGAAAGATTTTAAAGACATTAAAAATGTTATTTTTTTGGGCTTTGAGAAGCAAAAACTACATTCCAATCAACCCCACTGTATTTCTATCTGCATGGCTAAACAGCACTTGGAGTAAGTAGATGTTTTGTTTTAATTTGTATGAATAGACCCTTTAAAGACAACACAAAAGGTATGTGAAATGATGAAATGATAAAACAATGAGGTCTTGGTTCATATAGACAGAGCTTGTGGTCAAATTGTTGGTTTTCTTCAAATAAATGTGATTTCAAATATATATATCTTGACACTAAAATTAAATACTTTCATGCAGTCAGAAAAAAAAGATGAATGCAGAAATACAGGTCTCTGGGTACTGCCTATATTTTAATTCCAATCACTTCAAAAGGGGAAAAAAATGATTTTCTTTCATATAGACCTACTCAAACATCATCTTCTGAAACAATTTTGATACATTTCCCAAATGAGCTCATCGTTCAATGTTCACCACATGTTATCCTACGCATGTGTGTGTCAGCTCACAAGGAGTGTCAAGACCTCCCAGTGTTATCACATCGTGTTACACAACTCAAGCTTCAGGTAGTCTGAGATCACCTGTGTACACACAACAATCAAACCAAGGGATTGATTATGTGACAGAGATCCTACCCAGGTACAATCCTAAATCTGCTGTTTCAGGAGGAAAAAGCAGAGCCACAGCTACTATGATAGTTCAGGAGTATCAAAACATGTCAGACAAACATTGTTTCACAGTAAGAAAAACTCTCAGAAGTGACCTGATAAGACCTCACTTGCACACTGCTGTAACACCAAGAGATATACTGCCACACTTAAATCAACTTCAGTTCAGATGAAAGGCCAGAGAATAAAGACTCTAGTCACACCGCCGTTCTCTCACTCAGCTCATATGCCATTGCCTGTGGCTGTATGAGACTGAAAGTTTACACACAGCTGAGCAGCACATCATTCACTCAGCGGCCTCCTGCACAACTGTGGCATTAGGAAACAGAGGGACTGGCAGTAAAACACACACAGTCCTGACACTATGGCTGAGCATACTGTTTGCCTTATGGACAGGCTGCAATCATCTATTCATGTTTAATGTCAAACTACTAAACTGGCAAACAAACACTTTCTGTAAAGTGGGAAATGAAAACAGAAAAAGAAAGTGAAGTCTGAATTGACGGCGGTTCTGTGTGAGAAACACACCATACAACCAACTCAAAGAACTCATAACTGATGTGGAGCATTCATATTAATGTCAACAGACTGTAAAAGGCTTTGGTATAATATTAGAATGTGTGCATTTAAAAGGATTACAGCGCTAACGTTTAGTCGTCAATAGATGTTACCAGAAGTCAGTATAACAAACAAAAACCTGTTGTATTTATCAACAGACTGAGGGAGATTGGGGGAAGAAGGCCCAATTTTACAACCACTAAGGAGTAAGTTTTATACAGAAATTAGGAGAACCTGAAAGCACCTTCATTACTAATTAGGATAACACAATACCACTTTAGCACGAGGCTGTTTGTAGTAGTAGAAATGCTCTGGTTTCTGTAAAATATGTGCACCACCAGAACAAAATATGATAAAAACACCATTAAAAGACAAAAGTGGAACAGGGCAACAGTAAAATATTCAGACTTACTTTCCCCCTGTCTGTTCCTTCAGTGAAGCGCCTCCACATGAGCTAATTAACAACACCTGGGTCAGACTGATTAACGACCAGTCTGCGCCATTTTGGCTCCTTTCCCTGTTTGAGAGGAAATGGGCTCAATGTATATATTTGACGGTATGAGGAGTTGTCTTTAGACAGACTGTAAGCTAATATAGTGAACAGTTGAAGACCTGTAAACTGCAGTTTGTGGGTGGAAGAGAAACAACGAGGACATCATGTGGACAAACTGCTTCAGTTTAAACTGCAGCAGGTAGGAAACACTTCCTGTCTCTGGATCCATTGACTGCCCTGGACCTCCTTTACTTGACTGAAAGTAGCCACAATGTAACAAAATAACCACTCCAGTGCAAGATAAAAAGTATTGTATTCAATAAATCACTTAAGGAGAAGTACAGAAGTAATAGCAACAAAATGTAGGCCATTAAAAGGCTACACATTATTCATAATTAACCCTTTCATAATGTGACCATTTTGCACAGCCCATTATTTATTTATTAGTCTGTCAGTAATTAAGCTTTAATGTGTAATTTACATTTTAATGTTGAATTTGGTCGAAAACGCATTTGGTAGTTGTAGTGCGGCAGCTTGGTTGTATATTATTATTGTTATTATTATTAATAACAATAATAATAATATTGTGCAATTACAAACAGTATTTTGTTAAAGCAAGATAGCCATTAGTTAATAAGCAAGCTAACGTGTTAAGCCAAGTGACAGTGTACAACCTGAGGCCTGACACTGTGGTTGTCATTCTAGCACAAAGGGAGTGAAGTTCGACATTGAACTGACCACCTACTCCTTTAGCTTTTTCTCAGTAAACATTTTAATAAGCACCCTTACAAAAATAAAGAGGAAAAAAACCATCTGATCTAATCAGCTTGAACACAGCTTTACAATCAGGACTGCAGGGATATTTTTCACCTATTTAAACCCACAACTGGGCCAAATGTGTTGCTTTTGGTGCAAAATTCACAATTGATATGATTAATTGCCTCACTATTTAGTCTGTAACAAGGCATCACATTTTACAAGATAATCATAATGTTAATAGAAAAATTCTATTTGTAACTGGTAACTATCAGATACATGTTGTGGAATAAAAGGTAGAATACTTTTGAAAGTTAAAACCCGAACTGATAAAGACTGTGGTTTCTCAGAGGACTGCACTCATTACATGAAAGTGTTAATTGTGATAACTGCCTTAGAATGAAATCTTTTACTATTTTTAATTTAAACTTTTGTGCACCTTTCTTCTCTAGACTACACAGCCATAGTGTGGTGGGAAAACCTTTGCTTCTCAAGAAACAACAGAGAAGCTGGTTTCCTTTAGTTCATTGCCTTTAATAACTGCTGTAACAGAGGCCTGAGAAAACCATTTAGGCTTCCCTAAATAGATTATTGTTACAATATTTTCATGGCAATATAAACAACCCTGTGCTCCTTAATGCCAGCTGGGGCGACAGTCAAATGCTAATGCTTACAGTGATAGCTGCGTCATATAATATAAATGTCTTGTAATATGTGCACTGCGGTGGCTTCAACTATTATGGAACTGAAGCTACCACAGCTTGAAGTGATATAAGAAATAATTCCAGCTCATGACCAGTGTAAAAAACACACTCAAATGTAAATCAGATGAGCCGTTTATTTCACTCTGTTGCTTCACATTTCATGCTTACTGCAGGAGCACAGATGAATCACGCCACAGATATTAGAGTCGAGCAGATAAGGCATCAGACTTAAAAGAGCTGGGACCTGTTTGCCAAATGTATCAAGTATTTATCAACAAAGGTCTGCAGAAAGGGTCTGTTCTTCTTTCAGAGGTCAATATCCTGCCCATGTCTTTGTCCTGTTATCACACATCAGACCCTGCCGGGGGTGACGCAAGCCCTTATGGCTCAGACGCGTTCATTTGTGCTTTATGGGCTGCTGATGCTTGTAATTATACTAAGCGTGCCTGATATCAATGCAGAGTGAAATGAATTAGACTTGAGAAGAAAATATGATTATCATATTGGATTTAATTGAACAACCTTTTCTTTGAATTCAAGATTACACATGCACAACACAAGAAACAGATTTCAGAACCCGATCACAGTCTCTGACCCATGGGTGAATAATCTTTGAGACAAAAGACCAGCCTCCTCTTACATTGTTTACATTGTCTTTTTATGTTTTACGTCATTCTTTCTAATTACTTCTGTTTCAAGAGTCAGTCCATGTAGTGGTTAGGTGTAGAATGAGGTAATATAATCATTTAAGTAAGTCTTACGTATAAAAGTAAAGCAGATCTAAGCTCTAAAGGACAGATGCTGACCGCAATGACTGATTTCACCTGAACTAACATTGTTTCTAACCAGGTGCCACAATGTAAGAGGTTAACTCCTCTGTGAGGTGAGACTTTGTCCATGGAGCCCCTGACAGCTTCCAGGGGCCCCGCTTCTTACTTCCTCTTTCCTATTCGCGCCATCAGTTCTGCATTGGCTGCTGCTTTGGTTCTCATGTCCTGGTTCTTGGCCAGGTCTATGAGGACACTGAGGATGCTGGTGGGAACATCAAGGGACAGGGCGAAGCGGGACCCCTGCTGGGCTCTCTTTGGCACCTGGGAGGCTGGGCGCGGGGCTCGTGCTCGCCGGAGCACAGTGTGATACTCTGATCGGAGCAATGAGTTCAACACACCGCTGCGGTTTAGGATGTCGATGGCCAGCACGTCCCTCTGCGTGTCTTCATCGAGTTTGGCAAGAGCGGGACTGCTCCTCTGGCTCTGGAAACACCATGGCAGCAGCAGAGCCAGGCAGAAACACACACGCACACTTCTCATGGTCAGGACTGTCTGCTGGGAGAGAAAAAGAAGAGCAGATCAGCCAGTGGCTCAAAATTACACAACTGTGACACTGCACACACTTCTCCCGGTGATGGCATGCAGCAATCATTTTCTGTGCAATAATGTGACCAAAGAAACCATCTGAAAGGCTTTTGGATAGGAATTATGCAGTATGATGAATTGCAACAGTATAATGATTATTATAGTATTTTGTACACAATGTATTATCCATCACCCAGAACATCCAGGTTAGATTTACATTTCAGTAGTCCCTACCAATGCACACATGGGGACAAATTCAATGATATATGATCCACTATCCACTGTGCACTCATTTGAAAAATACCTTCCAAAAAGACACGAAAGCATGCAAGTTATACAGTTTTCTGCACAGCATTTTAGTTCTCCAATATTTTGTCCTCTTAGCTTATAAATAATACAGTATTTTCCAATAAATCCGGTACTATTTTTGGACATCCGTACAAATAAACCTGGGTAAGCTTTGATTAAGTGTCACAATCCCAATAAATACTTACTCGGTTTCACCACTGTGAAAAATTGGATGAAAAGGCACTTGTTCTTGCTCTGGTCTAAAGCAGGGCTGTGGTAATGATCTCTTGTCTTTGACCCTCAGATATCCCGTGATGCTGTATCCCAGCTACTTCTCGAGCTACTGGAGTAGCGACCTGTGTGGCACGCAGTCGGATGTTCAACTGGACTTGTGCCTGCTCGTCCACGATTTTGTCTTCATTCACGTCAGTCTTCGGCGTAACACTGCCCCTTGTTCCCTTCTCTGTTTATCTTTTACATCTCCACACCCCATCACCCTCCCCACATTTCATCTCATTTCCTCTACACTCATTGCCGTCTTTCTCTTTCTAAAAATAACACTATGGTAATCACAATAGTTTGCCTGTATTGAATTGGACAGTTGCCCCAGTCTGCGGTCAAAGCACAACTAAAACCCACCATCTCCATTCAAAAATATCAACATGCTATAAAAACATTTCACTGTCTTATCATGGTGTTAGGATGTGTTGTCAGACTGGGCGACCACAGTCTACAGCATCTATTGTGTTTCTGTGATTTCTAATATTAGCTTCTTTTAGGACTTTGAGTGAATGTATGCACAAATGTTCATTAACATTCTGATTTATTATTTATCTTATCCTTATGCAATTTTGACTGATCCCTTATCTTACTGTCCTTGACTCCACTTTAAAAAAAATGTTATTCCCAAAACAGAAACAACCTGAAAGATTTCTCATCTTTAGCTCAGTTGATCACCAGGATCTCTGAAACAATGCTCAGAGGACAGAGGGATCTACCAATGGCCTCATATTGGCTACTTAACCAGTATCTTGACCTTGACGAGACAATCTTGGCGAAAGGGGGAAGACTCAGTTTCACCGGCCTTCGATGGACGGTCTCATGCAGGGCACCTCCAGCGGCGGGGTGGATACTTTCTGTTTGTTTTGTTTGGAATTTTACTAAAATAGCATGTTTTAAAAAATAGAACATTTTTCATCAGCTAGTCAGACTATAGACAAATGTCTGGGACCTAAAACAAGAAGCCTACGTCAAAAACTCCAAAAAAAAACCAGTTCTACATGAAAGAGCAGACCAGGATTCGTCCACATTACTATGACAGTGATTCAATTCTACGGCCACTAAATATGGCGCCATCAATTAGAGTTTAGGGAGGCGGTTGCATTATTTAAAAATAGGATTTATGTGTTTCGTAATAACGGAAGTAGAATAAAATAAATTTTATTTTGAAATGATAGGCTTAATTGAAGACCCAAATATTAGTACAAGCTCTTTTTACCGACGTTGTCAACTTCTCAGAAGTTGCCGTCACAGCTATTTGCACGTGTGTCTTTGTGGCGTCTTGAAATATTTGCCAGGTATGACATTCACAATGCTGGGGACTAGGGCCAGTTAAGGGAACATAATGTATGAGTACACACATCTTTCTATTTACAGAACACAAAAGAACACTCATAGAGAAAGCCCTCTGGAGGACAACAAGGAGGAAGAGGCTGTCAGGCCCAGGAGGGAGGCTGAACGAGACAAAACCTACCTTATTTTCTGAGTCACCTCCAGTCCAGCCCATCAAGGGACTTGTCCTCATCTGACTAATGATATGAATATTACAAGTACAGCCCTATTACAATAGTTGGGCCCTCGGGGGGCCCACAGGATTACGAGCCATCTCAGTTACCCTCAGATAAACAAACACGGGTCACACAAATGTCACCCAGCAGCAAACAGATGTTCTGGGTCGTATACCAGTAGCATTCACTGTCACAGATACAGCATGACGCAGGACTATATATAAATCTAAGATGACATCATCTCTGTGATTCAAGATACAACATATATATCGCAGCAGGTCTGGGTTTATAATTCAAGTAGCCTACTGACGTAAGATCTGGGTACCTTAAACTCAATCTATCAGGAAGCATCTCATCACAATTACTCTGATCAGTGATATAAACCTGATTGTTCTGTACACTTAAGTTTACAATACGGTTCAATTCTAAGTAATCATATCAAAGCAAATTGGTAGTAAGTACACTGCCTAGATCACAGATTAGCCTGATATATAATCAGAAATCAGAACACAGGGACAGTGAAAAGAAGACAAGTGTGAAACATTATGATGTTGTGAGAGCAGCTGTGCTCATCTGTGTCATCTTTGTTTTCTAGGAAACCAAAGACTACTAGACAGAATAAGACTCAAGTCTTTGATGTATGGCTTTAGGTTCTGGCAATATTCATAGCAACAGGCCTACAAACATTTTTCTTGTCATCCTTGTGGCTTTTTTATACTTATTTTCCAATGTAAGGCATTTTATTGAGTAATGTGACTAATGATGCATCAAAATATAGTTATATATACACCAATATATAGAATGGAGTGAACAAAGGATTATCGTTATGCTTACATGCTGTATTTTATTGCTCATTAAAGTTGTTTTTGCATTTTACTTGTACCGGTGTGTTGTTTGCAGTTAGAATTCTAACAGACCTTTCCCAAATTAAGCAATAACCAAAAAAACATTGCAGTTGACCAGAACTTACAAAATTTACTTGAAACGTTGAAAAGCAATACACCAGATACAGTACATTACCAATGAACTGTACTGTACATATGAATGAGACAAACCACACTGGGCCAATGTTTTACAGTATTTTTATTGTCGGAATGAGAGCTTCTGTTATGTACAATAGAGGACAGAAACAAATCTTACAGAAATTATAAATATACTCTTGCTCCGAACTGGTTGTATTGAGTACTGGTTGTATTTAGTACTGGTTGTACTGTTTCAAGTAGATGATTATTTTCTATTCAAGTCCACCCTCTCTCCCCTCCCCTCTCCAAGTCCGTACCAGGTGGTGAGGACCTGGGTAGTACCAACGAGAGGTAACAGAGGTTTAATTCTGATACAAAGTCTCTGATGGCTAACTAAGAGTGATCAGTGGGCAGGGTTTGAAAGGGAGGTGGGGAGAAAAGAGAGGATGGATGGATGGCTGCCTGTGCTGTCAAGACAACATGTGGACAATCCTCAGGTATTCGGTGATGACGCGGTGAGAAGATGAGGAGCAAACATGGGACACTCGGAGCAACAAAACAACTTCTCTTAAAACCTCAGCCAGTACATGGCACTGCGCATTCTGTTGTAGTCGGGTAGCTGCTCGACCGGGCCTGGTGGAGAGAGGCAGGAGGGACATATTAGATCAAATTATTACAGCATGGGCCCCTCCGTTGCTGCTGAAGGACTAAAATCAAAAAGAACTCACCGACAGCTGCCACAGCAGGACACTTGTCGTAGAGATATTTAGAGCAGACGTCACGCACCATCCTAGGGGTCACAGCCTGAGAAGGAGAGATGTGGGGGGGGAAGTCAGGACTTATTCCTGAGACAGACTATACGAATTTAGTCAATTGTGAAATTGTGTGTCAACTCACGTCGATCCGAGCATCCCACTCTGCCAGAGGAATACGGCGTCCATAGTTCAGGATGTGTCTGCCGATGTCGTCACAAATTGGTGTTGTTCCTAAAAGCAAGAAAAGGTGTGTTGACATATGATTTGAAGGAGTGAGTATGTCTGTATGAATGAATGCATGACAGACACATTACACACCATTGAGCTGTCCAACCAGGCTGGCCTTCAGAGCATTCTTGCCTCTGGCAACATCACTCTCTGTCACCGTGGTACACAGGTTCATCCTGTACAGAAAGTGGAGGAAAAATACAATGAAATATGTGCATTGTCCTATAATTATAAACAATTATAACAGAATGCAGTTATGGCATGTCTGTCCTGGAGTTATTACTGACCAGGCATTCTGGGACCAGTGCATCATGTCTTCGATGTAGTGCTTATCAGCCACAAAGTGAATGCCCAGCAGGCCGGTGTCGCTGTAGGAGGAGTGGAAGGCCTGGAAGCTGTGACACAGTTTCTCCTCCACTGCCAGGCGAGCCAGACGGCTGCTCAGATTCTACAGGTGAGAGGAAGGAATGGATGTTGATATTGTACTGTACAGAAACTGTTAACAGAAGGGTCTCCCTCTCTTCTGAGAGTACAAGTA